CTTTATTGAGAGGCACCATCCACCAGCTTACTTTCTCTCCAGTGGGCCTTCCTCACCTCTTGGAAATGCAACAATACTGCAAAAGCTACCAGAGTCATTGCATTTATTTGGAGCTGTAAGAAGGCAGGAAAGCCTTTAGAGGCACAAAAATCTTCTAGTTTAGGTGGCAAGTAACAGGTTTTCTCAAATCATACACAGCTTGAGTATCAAAGCTTCCGCAGACCTCAAATACCAAGAGTTCGACAGACATGGCCAGATACTCACTGGTGCTACCTTTTCCTCTAAGTGCATTCATTTCGCCTCCTATCCTCTTTTAGATTACATCCTTAATTTTGTGAAGAATCATAACTTCAGTGAAATAATGTAAAGACTTTCGGTTGCAGTGGTCAACTTAAAAATAAAAGTTGGTTTGCTCCTGGTAGTTATTTAGTTCCATATGATTTCTGGCTTTAGTGTATCAAAGACTCACCATGTGGCTTTGCCAAAACCATTTAGATAATTAAATAAATAACATTAATAAGATTAAATTATTAGGGAGGTTGGCAGTTAGCTTTAATTACCAGGAATTTAAACCACACCTTAACTTCTGCATAACAGGGCAAAATCACCTTCAAGCAAGACACTTGCTGAACTCTAGAACCGAGGCATCTTAGTGGTTCCTGTAAGACATGCCTGATGGTTTTTTGTGATGTAAAAGGTATGAGATGTGATGAAAGTTTTTCCCCTCTCTTGGAGGTCTTATTCCCACGTGGATCCTGTTATGTTTAATCAGATATGAGAGCACTCTCCAGCCTTTCCCTTAATAGAGGTACCTCTGGCTTACTTCTTCCTAGGGCAAATTTAAGGAAGTCAACAGAGAAATGCTTTAAAGCCTCCATTCCTATTTGAAATCTGATTGAAATAGGCTTAGAAATTGCTAGGGAACAATTTGCTCTTATGCAGCATGACTGCATAAAACTGGTGTCTGGGAAAAGAACACAGTGAATTGATATTTTCTTGTAAAAATGCACTAGCTGTTCTGATTAAGATACCTATCTCGTAATGCTGAGCAGGGTGTGAGTCAGCTCAAGCAGCCTTTGCTTAATCCCACTTCACATTATGCTTTTTGCCCCTAAGTCTTTCTCAGCCTGAAGTTTTCCCTATCTATTTTCATACTTATACAGAATGCAACGTATCTGAACCTGAATGTTTCTCTAGAAACCCTGGTCATTTCTCTATGTTCCGCCTTTTTGCTGATTCATTCAGACAAATGAAATACCTGCCACACATAGGCAGAAAAAACCCACATGGATAACGGTAAATCTGAAAGGAATGAGACTAACAGCCTGGCGAGACAAGTAACTTCCAGCTGCTTCTGCAGGTTTATTTCTTAAAGCCATTGACTCGAAATGTTGAAGTGAAATCAGCTTCTTGGTGTTTGGGGGTCTTCAGAGTTTCTGTCTCATACTGTTCAGATGGCTGCAGCTGTGAAATACAGCATATGCCTTCAGCTGGTTTAGGAATCTTGTATATCACCCGTGCCTTGTCTTATCATTACAAAATCACTGCTCAAACCTTCTGCAGCACCTGCGATTGAAGGTGTTGTCAAAGGCTTTATTGTAGGAACAGCACTTTGAAAACTCCTAAGTTTT